CGGCACCTGCATATTTTAACACAGTTCAACAATTTCCGCCCCCCTAGCAAAGACTGGATGTTGGGAAAGATTGAGGGCACAAGGAGAAGGGGACGACAGATGACGAGATGGTAGGACAGTGTTCTCGAAGCTACAAACATGAGTTTGACAAAACTGTGGGATGCAGTGGAAGACGGGAGTGCCTGGCGTGCTCTGGTCCACAGGGTCACGAAGAGTCGAACACAACTAAACGAATAAACAACAACAAGCAAAGACTGGGGAAAATGTTTCCATGCACAGAAATCCCACAAAAATTCCTAAGCATGTATAAGCATCAGTAAGTCCAGCTGAGTTCAAAAGGACTTACTCCCAAATACAGGAAAGCCAGATATTGTTGGATTACAACTCCCCGCAGCCTCAGCCATCATGGTTAGTAGTCAGGGATGATGGGAATTGTAGTCCAGAAACATCAGGAGGGCTACCCCTGCCCTGGTAAATATGCTTTGGATTTAAAGCGCAGTATATAATTTAATAGACTTATGAGATTGTGTTTGGGGAAATGAGATCCTTCTGCCCTTAACAGTGTTGAATAATTCACACAGGTCCAAAAACAAGGAATTAACACCCAAATCTCACTATACACACTATAGGTTCAAATAGCCAAACAACCAGAGCTGCAAGTAGTACTGTAAACAAATAAGCAGCCTTAAACAAGCCTTACTTTTTGTGTTTTTCCGGTCCACAGCAGCCGTTTCAACAGAAACCATGGTGGTAGGTAGTGGGAGAGACCAGATAAATAAGAGAGCACTTTTTCATTCCTTGTATGTCTTTTGCAAGGTTTCATACGGTTATTTCCTGGGGGTGTTTGGGGGAAGGGTCAAAATCCCATGGGCAGGAACACATTAGAAATTTCCTCATAGATCATTGACTCATTATGTGAATGCTCGTCTAACAAACAATTTCCTGAAAACACACTGTGTTCAGATAACAAGACTTGCCTATATAAGTTTATTATTATTATTATTATTATTATTATTATTATTACTACTACTACTACTACTACTACTACCCCGTCCATCTGGCTGGGTTTCCCCCAGCCATCTGGGCAGCTCCCAACAGAATATTAAAAACACAATAAAACATCAAAAATTAAAAACTTCCCTAAACAGGGCTGCCTTCAGATGTCTTCTAAAAGTCAGATAGTTGTTTATTTCCTTGACACCTGAAGGGAGGGTGCCACTACCTAGAAGGCCCTCTGCCTGGTTCCCTGTAACCTCACTTGATGCAGTAAGGGAACTGCCAGAAGGCTCTCAGTGCTGGACCTCAATGTCTGGGCTGAACAATGGGGGTGGAGATGCTTGCTCTTTGTAAATGCTCTAGAAGAGTAGCTATGTTGATTAGTTTGCTGGGTACACTGTGCTACAATACCTTAGAGCAAATGTCAGCTTCCAGATGTTACTCCCATGAGCCTTAGTGAGAATGGTAAGTAGATAGGGATGCTGAGACAACAACATCTGGAGAGGCCGCACTGGCTTCCCTTGCCTAACAGTCGTACTGGGTCTGTTTCAGGGATAAGAGTTTAGCCCTGAGAAGATACACAGAAAAGATGAAGGATAGGAAAACCAAAGGTAACTAAATACACCCTGAATAGTACAACTAACTTGGTTTGGATTGTGAATGGAGTGTCCAGCTATTTACTCTAAAGACAGGAAAAACCTAGTTAGGTTTTCTTTGTCAGGGTTTCCCAAACTTTCATCTCCAGCTGTTTTGGACTACAATTCTCAGCATCCCTAGCTAGCAGGTCAGGGATGATGGGAACTGTAGTTGAAAAACAGCTGGAGGCCCAAGATTGGGAAACACTGTTCTAAATGTTTCATATGATGAGGGGCAGCATGGATAAGCATGCTAGCTTCATTGCCCTCCACAAGTTGGAAGGATAACTAAATCTCATGGGAACTGCAAGGTTAGAAAAGGGTCCACATTACAGATGTTTTCCCTCCAACTCACAGAGACCCATGGAGATAGCCAAGGGGAAACAAAACTAGTACAGTGGTATCTCAGTTTACGAACTTAATCCATTCCGGAAGTCCATTCTTAAACCGAAACCGTTCTTAAACCAAGGCACACTTTCCCTAATGAGGCCTCCCACCACCAGTGCCCTTCCACCATGCGGCTTCCATTCTTAGACCAAGGTAAAGTTCGCAGACCGGGACACTACTTCCGGTTTTGTGGAGTTCGTAAACTGAATAGTTCGTAAACAGGGCTGTTCTTAAACCGAGGTACCACTGTATGCTCTTCCTGCCTCAGATTTGTTGTTGTTGTTTAGTCGTTTAGTCATGTCCGACTCTTCGTGACCCCATGGACCAGAGCACGCCCGGCACTCCTGTCTTCCACTGCCTCCCACAGTTTGGTCAAACTCATGCTGGTAGCTTCAAGAACACTGTCCAACCATCTCGTCCTCCCAACATCAGGGTCTTTCCCAGGGAGTTTTCTCTTCTCATGAGGTGGCCAAAGTATTGGAGCCTCAGTGGTGTTTCCTGCTTGGCAGGGGGTTGGACTCGATGGCCCTTGTGGTCTCTTCCAACTCTATGATTCTATGATTCTATGATCTGTCCTTCCAGTGAGCACTCAGGGCTGATTTCCTTCAGAATGGATAGGTTTGATCTTCTTGCAGTCCATGGGACTCTCAAGAGTCTCCTCCAGCACCATAATTCAAAGGCATCAATTCTTCGGCAATCAGCCTTCTTTATGGTCCAGCTCTCACTTCCATACATCACTACTGGGAAAACCATAGCTTTAACTATACAGACCTTTGTTGGCAAGATGATTTCTCTGCTTTTTAAGATGCTGTCTAGAACACCTGAATAGAGCTACAGACATGCTAAAATGAGGGATAAATGGTTAGAACTTTGAACATATGTTTGCTCCATTCTAAAGCATTTATTTTCAGGTGGAGCATGTGTGCCTTCTATGTCTGGCTACACTTTACATTTGCCGTGGGAAAAGGAGCCAAACAATGTGTGCTCCTTCTGATGCTGCCTCCCCATCTGCTTCACATTGGGCAACACTTGAGAGGCAAAAGAAAGCCTTTCCCCCTGGATTCCACTTGAGCTGACCCATCATTTTCCAGAAGCAGCTCAACCGGGCAGCTCAACAAAGTTTTGCCTGAGAGCTACAAATGACCACATAAGGTTGTTTGAGTTGCAGTTTTGTACATGACTGATGGATTGATTATGAAGGGTTGTATCCTGGTATTTCCATCAGAAGATTCTCAAGATGATTCACAACAGATTGCAACTCTACAAAAGTGGTACCCCAAACCTCCACACATAACAATCCATAATCCAGTAGCCTTAAATTCTCTGGCAGGTGGCTGAGGCCAGAGTGTTCTTCCTTTCAGTTCTGCAATCCCCAGAGAAAATGGCAGCTAGAGCGGAATGTTCTCTCCAACAGGAAAAGAGTGGAGGGAGAAAACTTATTGCGGCGGCTGCTTTTCTTTCTTTTTTTGGAAATTTTAAAAATTAGATTTTACATAACAAATTTCAATTTAAGCATATTATTCACCTTCAGAGTTAGGATTCTCGGAAACCCTTGACTTCCCACCGCCCTTCCCTGGTTTCTGTTGTCAATCCCTTTTTCCTTCAGCTTATCCTATTTTCTCTAATTTGTTAGAAATATTATTAACCATTTTTCCATTGTATTTTGACATTACAAGCATAACTCTAATCCTGCCAAGGGTTTTAGTTGTTTACAGTGTTCTCTTAAATACATTATAAATTTTTCCCATTCCTTCTTGAATTTCTTCTCTTCCTGGTCTCTGATTTTCCCAGTCAATTTTGCCATTTCGGCTTAGTCCATCATCTTCATCAGCCACTCCTCTCTGGTTGGAACTTTGTCTTCTTTCGATCTCTGGGCCAGTAGTATCCTCGCTGCTGTTGTCGCGTACATGAAAAGTCTTTTCTGCTCTCTCAGAATCTCTGTACCTAAAATGCCTAATAGAAAAGTCTCTGGTTTTTTCACAAATGTTATTTTAAACATTTTCTTCAAGCGGTGGCTGCTTTTCTGTCTAGTGAATGGAATTCGGCTTGTTGAGAGAGCATTGAACCAGAAAAAGTGAGCAGTGAGTGATCAGAAATGAAGAGTCGGCAAAAGCCTGATGAAATAAATTTCTTTTCAGCAGGTATTTAAAGCCCACCACAGTTGGCAGTTCCCAAATTGCACAGGTGCTGTAGAGGATGGAGGCAAGTCAATGGAATGATGGGGTTTGGGGTTTGGCATGTCCTCCAATGCATTTGAACAATTATATATTTTAATTATTATTTTAATTTTTTATTTATACTTTTCAGGTTTATACAGGTCACTGGTTTTACAATCATTTTGACATTTCAAAACTTGACTTCCTTTCCCCTTCTTTCTGTGGTTCCTTACATTTATTTTTAATATCTTCTGCATATCCAAATTAACCTAATATGCTCATTTATTCATCTGCTTTAAACATATACTCTTATGAAACTGCAGGCTATTACAATAATCCTGCCAATGTTATTATCTGTTTACAATTTACCTGTTAATATCCAATAAACCATTTCCATTCTTTTATAAAAAGTTTGTGATCTTGATTTCTTATTCTTCTGGTTAGTTTCACCATTTCTGCATATTCCATAAGTTTTCGTATCCATCCTTCCTTTGCTGGGACTTCTGCTTCTTTCCTTTTGGGGCAAGTAACATTCTTGCTGCTGTAGTCACGTACATGAATAAATTTATATACAGTTTGGGTAGTTCTGTCCCTATAATTCCCAAATAATGCCCCTATAATGCCCTGTGTTATTATTCATCATTCACATTGTTATCAGCAACAGAATGAGATCATAAAGGCCAATCTCTCTCCTTCAGGTGGACAACATCAGCACGAGGACACAAAGACCAGTCTCTCTCCTTCATTGGCCACTATCAACATGAGGTCACAATGGCCAGTCTCTCTCTCTCTCCTTCAGGGAGGCAGCATCCTCATGACGTCACAATGGCCATGAGAGGGTCAGAAAAAACCAGATCACAGCAGGCTGTGTGTGCAGATGGTAGATGCAAGTGTTGCCTGGCACCCCAAATTCAATGGTGAGCCTTCAAAGTGCAATAGCCATCTCTTTCCTTCATTGGCCACTATCAACATGAGGTCACAAAGGCCAGTCTCTCTCTCTCTCCTTCAGAGAGGCAGCACAATTTCTACACAGTTTAGGTACTTCTGTCCCTATAATTCCCCTTTGGGAGAGCTTTTGGGGCTTTTTGTTGTTTTTTTACAAACGTTATTTTAAACATTCTTTTTCATTTCATTATATATCATTTCCCATCTGAACAATCATAGCCTTGGAGTTGGCATAGTAAATCTCTTCACTTTGCGGTCAGTGTCCTGGTTGCAGCAAAATGGATGCAGGAATTGCTTCACCACCCAATTCTCCCCACTGCGACTACCCTAGCAAGGTAGGATTTCTCTGTAAGTCATTTTTTAATTCATTCTTTATTTTGCATGCAAGGGCCTAATGTGGCAGAGCTCACTTTTCCCCTTCTTAATTGGCTCTTCAGAATCAGACCCCCCAGCACTGTAACCCAGGGCTGGGGAAACTTTTCTACATTCTCTTCTGAGACCAAATGCCCGTGAAGGGCAAGATCAGAGACAAATGTGGGCAGAGCAATAAATGTGAAATTTACCCTAGCGTAGTAGGCTACTTGTTATGCATCTCCTCAAACACACCCTCTATCTCCCATCCAGACAAGTGAGAAGCATTGTTAGAGGTCAATGACACATTGGAGCTAGGTATATTCTGGGATCAAATCAGAAGCGGGATGGCTTTCATAATTCCAGGACTGTCCCTGGAAAATTGGGTTTGCATTTGGACCCTGCGTTTGAAACTCCCATCCCTGCTATAATTCATCATCCTTAATTTCAGACTGTTTGGCTTACATGTCGACTGTCCTGGAGCCATGCAAACAAATTATCTGCTCCATCTTTAGTCAAAGTGGCCAAATTCAATTTAGCAAAGATGAAGGGGTCACTCTCAGTGGACAACAATTCATATTTCTGAGAGTTAGCCAAAGGAAATAAATAAAGTTCAACTTTAGCTATCTGAAAGGCCTCGGAGACATGCAAAACATTTGACTAATCAGAAGCTAGGAATGCTGTTTATGGAGGGTTGCAGTGACACAAAGCTACCAAGGTAATATGACAGAGTCTCTCTCTTCCTCTGTCCACAGCAAAGGGTGTTGTACTCTATTCCTCGGGTGAATTCCCCATGTCCACCTAGATTGGGGTGGGGCAGACATCCAATTGCCTGGCATTTTTATGTGACCTTACTTGATTCCCGCTTCCTGAAACAATATTTTAATCGAAATGTAGCAATGCTACAAAATTCGCTCTTCTCTGATTTTTGCAATGCGCTTCTCTCTCTCTCTCTCTCTCTCTCTCTCCCTCTCTCTCTTAATAATCTTTATTAATTTAAATTACACACGTATGCAAAGAATTTACAATCTCATACTCCGAAAGGAAAATTAAAGAAAAAACAATTAAGAAAAAAGAAAAGAAGAAAATACAGAAAAAAGAAAGAAGAAAAAGCAGATTTACGCACATAAAAAACTTAATCTTCCTAATTAATACTTAAATAAAAAAGACTTCTGACAAAATGAGTCTTCCCTTCTCAACAAAACAATGTGTGCAAAAATGTATATATTGGGGGGAAGTGTGCAAATAAATGCATGTTTGACAGAAAAATAGCACACACAAATGCATTATATTGAGCAAGAGTAGGCAACCTAAGGCCCATGGGCCACAAGCGGCCCACGGGGGCCATTTAACCGGCCCACGAGGCGCCCCCAAACCGAGCCACCTGCTCGGTGAGTCCCCACGCACTGCGCTAAACTGGCGCAGTGCGGGAACTCGCTTCCGCGGAGCCGGAAATCATGTCTGCGCATGCGCAGATGCCAAAAAACGTGTCTGCGCAGATGCAGACGCCAGAAATTACATCTGTGCAGTCGCAGATGCAGGAAATCGCGGGCGCGCGCACTCAGGCGCACACACAATCCGCCCCACGGAGCGCTCTCCGCTGCAGTGAACTGGCCCAGGCGAGGTAAACCTTGCCGACCCCTGCTATTGAGAGATACTGCTTGCAAAAATGTGTATATCAGAAGAAATGCAAATGCATAATAAAATGCTGACAAATTGTTGTATTGGCATTATTGTTATTATTAAAAAAGAAAAGCAATACAGAAATGTGGAGAACTGAACTTAAGACTGGAAAAAATGAGAAATTGAGAGAAATTATTATTTATTATTATTATTATTAATTGAATTTATATACCGCCCCATACCCAGAGGTCTCAGGGCAGTTCACAGAACAAAATCAAAATATAAAACCACAAAATATATAATCAAAATGAAAACAACAACCCTATAACCCACCCCCCGCAAAACCCCCACATTTTAAAAGGGCATAGGATGTTTCATCAATCCCTACAACCAGGCAGTGGTGCCAAATCTGTGACGATTGCTGTGAGGGAGAGAAAAACTGAGGCGTACGTGGGTTCCCACGAGGCAAGACACAGTGATTACAGCAAGAACCTTTATTGAATTAACAGAACTGGACAACAGGGGCAAAGCAACTGCTTATATAAATTTCTGAAGGCCTGGGCCACTCCCACCCCCTACGTGATCGGCTGTCTAAACTTCCAAGCTGCAAGTCATTACTCAGATTTTAAGAGCCAATGGCAGAGGCCCAAATCCTGAAATTGGATATCGGAACACAGGAGCTCAGAATCCTTGGTTCAGACTCAAGCTCAGGCAAACACAGACCACTGAATACTAACAAAAACCTTGAGACCAGCCAATTGATTTGGAGATGAAGTTCCTTCTTGAAGAACTCAAATATGGCGACCAAAAAATTGCATAGCAAGGTCATTAGCAAAACAATAAACCACAAAAAACAAATAAACCACAAAAATGAGGATGGGAGAGTGGGAGACCAAAAAGCCGACTGCTGTGTCAGGTGAGGAGCTGAGGCCTCCCATGATTGACCAATTATTGCAGGTGGGTAAACCTGAATCTCCCCATGGCCAAAGGGAGGGAACATCTCCCATTGGCCATTGGGAGGGATCAAAATGGCCTGACACTGGTAGTGAGTTGTGTGGTGCCACAACTGCCACCCACAACTCTTCACACAATGAGTGTAACACAAAGCCAGATTCTCATGGTCCATTGTACAAGCAAGCTTCGTTCCAGTTTGTCCCACTGTTTCAGCCTTTCAGGGTTTCAGTCCATGTTGCGTCTGGAGAATGAATGTCGCCCCCGTGCGTTGCTCAATCTTTAACCGCTGATGTATACATTAAAATGCTTTTTTATGTATGCGACAACAGCCACATGGATGTTGAAAGCCCAGAGATGGAAAGAAGAGTCACTACCAGAAAGGAATGGCAAACTAAGCTGATGGACTACGCCAGGTGTAGGCAAACTGAGGCCCGGGGGCTGGATGCAGCCCAACTGCTTTCTCAATCCGGCCCACAGACGGTCCAGGATTCAGTGTGTTTTTACATGAGGAGAATGTGTGCTTTTATTTGAAATGCATCTCTGGGTTATTTGTGGGGCATAGGAATTTGTTCACTCCCCCCCCCCCAAAAAAAATAGCCCGGCCCACCACATGGTCTGAGGGACGGTGGACCAGCCCACGGCTGGAAAAGGTTGCTATCCCCTGGACTACACCAAAATGGCAAAACTGACCGGAAAGCTCAGGATCCAAGAAGACCAAAACTTTAAGAAAGAATGGGAAAAAAATATGATTTATTTAGGAGACCACTGTAAGCAGATGAAAACATTAGCAGGATTCTAATAACACTTGTAATGTAACAAACACTATGGGCAATATGGAAAGATATAAAATATAAATTATGAAATAATATGCTAGTTGAAAATATGAAATTATGAAATAATATGCTAGTTGAAAATGTTGACCATAGGACCCGGGGGGGTGGGAAGTCTTGAGATTCAGAGAAATCTCTATATATGGATATGTATTTGGTATTGTTACAACTTTACATTTGGAACATCAAATAAAAACGATTTCAAAAAACGAACCAACGCTGATGCAGCTGCTTAGCAGAGGGAAAACGACACGCAAGCAAAGCGGTACTCATAAATAACCTGCCATCTTTGAAAAATTAAACGGAAGCCTCCCAGTTGACCTTTGGCCTCTGGTCTTTCGTAAAGGTGGCTGGGCAGGATGGCCAATGGAGACAAATCCACAAGCGCAAAAATCAATGCCGCTACTTAAAAATCCTTATGAAATACATCGGGACAGAGAAGCAATGTATAATTAATTGATTAGCCCCAAGAGATAGTTCAACGGAGCCCAGCACACATGAGCAACATCAAATTTAATTGATGAAAGATGTAGCATGGAAAGTGTGTGTGGGACTTTTTACTGGGTGGGTTGGACACCCAGTAACACTCTGCCTTCTTGTTGATAACCATCCTACAAGCCAACTGTTAGATTTTCATTTTTTTAAAAAAATGAAATTAAAAAATGCTACTTATGTAGGCCAGCAATTTCCACTTTAGACCAGGCCAATGAGCAGCCAAAGAACAGAAATAAGAAGACTCCTATGGGATGCACTATTCCACAGCTGGAGCCAAGTGTGGAGAATGATTCATGGTTTTGAGCCTTGACTTCTCACTGGATTGGCTACGGAACAATTAACCATAAAACGAAATCATGCTTTTTCTTCCAGAACACGTTGAAGCAAAAGAACATCTTCAACAGCTTGCCCTCACAGCGTACCACACAACTTGTGCAATAAACAGCAACGTTGGTTTAAAAGGGCAAGTGCCGCACTGAGACAGGTTTATTTTTTATATAAATTTATTTATTTAGTTTTTCAAATTAAAGTTTTACAATCCAACATACATCATAAGAACAAGAGTCCAAAGAATCTTCTGGACTTCCCCCCTCCCCTTTGTGGGTCCTATTGTTAGACATTTCCTCCTGCATCTTTCATAATAATCGAAATCTTTTACATCCCCATTATGTCCAAAATTCAACATTAAACTACAAGTGTTATTCCAATCCTACTAACAATTTTAGCTATTTGCAATGGTTTTTAAAATAGATTATAAATTTTCCCCATTCCTTATTAACATTTTCGTCTTCCTGATTTCTGATTCTTCCAGTCATTTTTGCCATTGCAGCATAATCCATCAATTTAATCTGCCATTCTTCTCTGGAAGGGACTTTATCTTCTTTCCATCTCTGGGCCAATAATATCTGCACACCCATGGCCGCATACATAAATAGTATTTTCTGCTCCCTTGGGATTTTGGCACCTAGAATTCCTAAAAGAAAGGCTTTGGGGGGTTTTTTTAAGAAAAAGTTATTTTAAACATTTTTTTCACTTCATTATATATCATTTCCCAAAATTATTTTACAATTGTACCTTGGAAGCCGAATGCCTTGGCTCCCGAAAAAATTGGCTCCCGAACCATCGAAACCCAGAAGTGAGTGTTCCAGTTTTTGAACGATTTTCGGAAGCCAGATGTCTAGCTCGGAAGCCTCACTTTGGTTTTTGAACAGTTCCGGGAGTCGAACAGACTCCCATAACGCATTCTGTTCAAAAACCAAGGTACCACTGTACTACCTTACATGCCCATCACATATGATATAAGGTGCCTTCTTTTTCCTTACATTTCCATTATATATTTGTGCCTGTTTTATACATTTTTGTATAAAAGGTAAAGGTACCCCTGACAGTTAAGTCCAGTCGCAGACGACTCTGGGGTTGCGGCGCTCATCTCGCTTTACAGGCTGAGGGAGCCCGCATTTGTCCACTTCCGCAGACAGTTTTTCCAGGTCATGTAACCAGCATGACAAAGCCACTTCTGGCAAAGCCAGAGAAACACACGAAAATGCTATTTGCCTTCCCGCTGGAGCGGTACCTATTTATCTACTTGCACCCTCTCGCGTGGCCTCGAACCACCAACCTTCTGATCGGCAAGTCCAAGCGACGCAGTGGTTTAAACCACAGCGCCACCCGTGTCCCTTATTTTTGCTAATTTACTGGGAGTTAAATATCAACGGTACATCATTTTCATATAGTTGCACTGAGACAGGTTTAGAACTGCAAGATGAAATGGGGTTTTTTGTTTTTGTTTTTTGGGTGGTGGTGGTGGGGAATATCAGCAGAATAAATAGTTACAAGGTTTTATGCATGAAATTATGTTTGTGAAAATATGCTTCATTAAATGTTCCGAATGCTTAGCCCTTCAAAATGTCATAGTTGGGTAGCTGACAAAAGGAGGGCTTTGCTAGAAACAGGAGAGGCTCATCCTTAACTGGAAATGTGTTCTAGAACATTCTTAGGAACACTGTGGGGAATGCAGGGGCTAGAATCTTAAACAGCAGCACTCCCACTGCAACATTTGGTTGCAGTTCCTGCTGAGCCCAGTTGCATGTCGAGGTCCCCCAAGCCACCCCCAAATAAATCACAATTCACACAGAATTTTTGCTTAGGTTTTTGGCATAATTTTGGCCACAACTTTATTAAAATACATAAATGCGAGTGGATGATAAGGAATTGGTTCCAACTATCTGTCCCCCACCCCGGGACAGAACTGACTTCCAGATTCCAGCGAAAGCCAGTAAGGGAAAACAATATTGGGGAGAGCATGGAGCCGGGCACCAGACCCTCATCCCCCCGCATGCTCCCAGGGACTTGCACGGCCCTAAGCCCCATTCAGGGTTATGGACGAAAGCATGGCGAGCCCCTAGATTCCTTTAACGGAATTCCCTTGCAGCAGCAGCATTGGAGGGGCAGGCACCGCCATTCCTTACCCCTCCACCAACCAATTTTTTAACCAATGCCTAACCGCAACTTACAAGTTGTGACGATTTGCTATGCAGTAGGCAAAAACCAAATGGCACCAGCCAATCAGCCAAATGGACAAAATTCCTACCAGGCCCCTGCCCCAAAAGCAGACAACCCCATGACAGGCATAGCAAGGTCAACATAATAGCCCCAAATTAGGGAGGGTGGGTGAGTGTTCCAATGCATGCAGCAAAAGAACAGAGTCAGTGCTGCGTGGCCTGATTTTATAACCTTTGGTCCGTCCCAGTAATTGGCAACATCAAGATTTTCCCAGTAACCCAACAGCCCAATCACTGCAGATGGTCATCCAAACTATCCCGCCCAGCAACAGAGGGGTGGCATGTCAGACCCCACCGCAACACGTGCTCTCCATGAAGGAGAACACACTTTGTAATATATAGAATAATAATGAACATCTCAGGACTCCAGCCCCTTACTCTTGAAAGGCTTTCCAAGAATATCCGTACGGTCAAGGTTTATGCTCTGTTTCCAAAATAAGGGATCATGTGCCTTTGTCTCAACATTCTAAAACAAATGTTTAAATCTAAATGGATTCTATTTGGGCACAGCTGGAGTTTATATGGATCAGCTTACGGAATCAGGTCCTGCGTTACTTGACACACTGCTACATTTCAGTCAATATTTAGTCGAACCTGATCCCAATTTACTACGAGAAAAAAATAAATCAGCCAGGAAGTTTAAGGAGAACATACTTGTGTCTGAAAATTCAACCCATGCCTTCGCTCTCATAGGGTCAATGCAGGACTTTCCCATTATTATCGTTATTAGCCTTTGAATGGTGGATTTGTAGTGCTTATGTGGCTTCCTTGGTTTACTGGGCAGTTAAAGCTAGGGGTGAGTCATTTAACGCACAATTGATGCATTGCCAAAAGGACGTGGGAGGAGATTTGATGCTCTCAGGGCTAGCCCAAGACATTTTGGCACTTGAGGCTACTGCCTGAGGCAGTTGCCTGACCTTGCCTTATGGGTGAGCTGGCCTTGGATGTTATCCATTCTATTACATATTGTTCTGACGTATGTTCATATAGCTGTGGCCTATCGGACCAAATAAGCTGGGGGGAAAGTTACACAACGTCAATATGAGGCGTCAGATCCAGTATGACAGCAGCCATGCTCTGGAACGATTAAGATCAAGCAGGCACCTTCGCTGAACTGTTTTCTACGCCTGATGAAAACCTCTTTTGCTCCGGCAAGCCTACCCAGACATGTAATTTTATTATACTTGTTTTTAAGTTCTGTTGATTTTATCTATGGTCATGATCATTCTGTTATGTCTACTGGTTTTTTTTAAGAGTTTGCTCACTTTGTTGGTATGTTTTCGATAAACATTTCACACCGTTAACCTCGTAGGGTTTCTAATTTATTTATTTTACTAAGGAGTCTATACGTTTTGCTAAATAAATAAATCTTCATAATATGCATGCTCCAGAGGCTTCAGCTCGTGTCGGTCCTACTTTGTCCTTCTCGCCACACAGTGAACAAGGGTACTGCTAGGACCGGCAACAAACAGGACACAGACTCCACTAGAAATTGGTTCTAAACAGTGTTTTCTGTGTTTGGCATCCTGTTAAAGTGCTGAGCTGTGAGAGAAGTTGTCATATACAGTGGTACCTCAGGTTAAGAACTTAATTCATTCTGGAGGTGTCTTCTTAACCTGAAACTGTTCTTAACCTGAAGCACCACTTTAGCTAATGGGGCCTCCTGCTGCCGCGCCGCTGGAGCACGATTTCTGTTCTCATCCTGAAGCAAAGTTCTTAACCCAAGGTAATATTTCTGGGTTAGTGGAGTCTTTAACCTAAAGCGTATGTAACCTGAAGCGTATGTAACCCGAGGTACCACTGTACTCTTATGCTAGCTAGTGATGGGTAAAGGTAAAGGTAAAGGACTTCTGGACAGTTAAGTCCAGTCAAAGGCGACTATGGGGTTGCGGTGCTCATCTCGCTTTCATGCCAAGGGAGCCGGCATTTGTCCACAGACAGCTTTCCAGGTCATGGGGCCAGCATGACTAAACCGCTTCTGGTGCAACTGGACACTGTCACGGAATCCAGAGTGCATGGAAATGCCGTTTACCTTCCCACCACAACAGTACCTATTTATCTACTTGCACTGGTGTGCTTTCAAACTGCTAGGTTGGCAGGAGCTGGGACAGAGCAACGGGAGCTCACCCTGTCACGGGGATTCCAACCGCCGACCTTCTGATCAGCAAGCCCAAGAGGCTCAGAGGTCTAGACCACAGTGGTACCCTACTGATGATGGGTAGGGATGCAAGAAAGCACCAATATCTTTCTTAGAATCATAGAATGGGTTGGAAGGAACCCGATGATCATATAGTTTAAGCTCCCCACAATGCAGGAATCTCAACTTGAGCTTCCATGACAATGGCCATCCAACCTCTACTTTGTTGTATGCAGAGCCGTTTCCCTTCCACTGCAGCTCACTTTCCGACAAAGACTACAATATTTGTCTTGCTGCCCGCAGAGGCGAAATTTTAACATAAGTTGATTACGTTATCATTACGTGATTCCATACCATTCATTTCATTGCAAAGGAAACAAGATGCAGATAGGGAGGGGAGCCATCATTTATGTATCGTTGGTGGACTGGAAACAACAGGGAATAACTACAGCAGGAGTCTAGGCTCAGCTAATACTTATTTTATTTGATGCTTCACCTTTGTATCCCACCTTTCGTCCAAGGAGCTCAAGATGGTTTACATGATTCTCCCCATTTTTACTTCTTCACGACTACCCTGTGATGTAGGTTAGCCTGAGAACAAGGGACTGGCCCAAGATCACCCAGTGAGCTTTACAGATGAGTGGGGATTGATCTCTAGCCTCCAACAACAGGACTGTACAAGGGTCCCTGATTATAAAATCATAGAAAACAGCAGCATATCTCTATTTCCTCACATCCAGAAATGCAAGAAGGGCTTTTACTCTTGCTAGAAGCTCAGCCTTGCCGTCACCAGTTCTGGAAGGCTCCTATAGAAAGGTCCCATACGCACAGAGACTTTGCGCCTGCCCATTAGGGGAAATAGGAAGCCTTGAACATATATTTTTTAGATGTCCTTATTATGTTGAGATTCGTAGGGACACCATTGATCCTTTGCTGAAGAGGCTCGCCAATCTTTCCGACAAGTCTAAACTTAATTCTTTCCGCTTAGGCAACGATCATAAGATGACCTGCGCCCAGATTTGTAGGCACAGATCATCCTCTAGAATAAAATAGCTTACTAGGGAAATGCTGAAGTTGCCCTTTGGGGCACCTCAGGGTCAATTTTTTATGGTAGCCCAAATCTCAGTTGTACGGGTTTTGGTATATTTCTCAATTTTAACTCATGAGCTATTGCTGCAATCTGCTCCGATTGTATATTTTATCTTTATGAACGCTGTTTTTATTGTGTTATGTTATGTGAGCTGGTCTTTGACCGTAATAAATTATCTGTCTATCTAAATCATCTATCTCTAGCCTCCAAGGTCCTAATCCAACACTCAAGCCCCATTGGGCTTAAGATGGGGGTCAGCCCTTGATTTTGCTACCCAACCTCCTTCAATTTCCAGCCTCGCCACCATTCCTATCTTCACCAAGAAATAGTATGATAGAAGATGCACTTAAGGATGGGGGTGGCTGGTGCTGTCTTAAAGTTCTTTAAGCTTTGGTAATGTTTGCTTCATGCTATGCTCCTTCACTGCAGGACAAACGAAAATGGAAAGCCCCGTTTCAGTTCTAGATAAATTATGTAAAATGTTTGCACTTTGGCAAGGAATGTGCAGGCACCTCTTCACATCATGCTTCGCTGTGTTGGGCTATCAGGAGCTGGCAAGCACAGCCTCTGCTCCTCAGCTATGTAGGAATGCAAGATTGTCAGATTTCAATCAAGAGCGAAAGCCAGCCAGGACCTTCAGCTAAAGTAAACCTTGAGCACTTAATATTTAATACAAAAACATCCTGTTCTCTTAGACTGATTCACCTTCAACAAAGTACAACTTTGTCTTCGGAACAAGGAGATTACAAGAAAGAGGGCTTAAACTTTAATGGACTATATAAAACAGTAAATGATTAAGTTCCAGGTGGTGAGCGTGTTCTAACTGATAGCATGTGAGAATCTCACCCTGGCCATTGGATTGACACTGATTGACGTCACGTGTCACATTTGCATGCTTTCAAGCTGACAGTGCTTTCCAGAACTGGAACAGAACCAAGGAAGATGCCATCCTACGTATGCAGGGACTGGATGGGCCAAACCATGTAGAAGCCATTTTGTCAAGCAAGCTGTGTATTTATTGTTGTTGTGTTGTTTTGAAAAATCAGCAGGCTACTTACTGCTGCAGTCCCACCTAGGGGTAAGTCCCGCTGAACTCAGAGGGGCTTTCTTCTAAGTAGATGTTTATGGGACATAGGGGAAAGCTTCAGAGAAAACTTGCAGTGAGTCTTGGCCCAATACATCTTGAAAATTACCTTAGCTCTGAGCTATTTAGCGGTAAAATGTCCAGTGAGCCAGCTTCTGAGCAGATGTCTAGATTTGAATCACCAAACCTAAATCTACTTTTCAGCATTGAACATGGCAGTTAGGAAGCACCTTAAAAAATTTTATTTGCTGCAGACATACACTTAGAAATGTGATTTAAACAAATATGCATTTTTGAGTGTAGCTACCTTTGACAATTTGTTGGGTGGGGCTTCATTTTGTCCCCACCCACCCTAAAGATCAGAGGAGTGGATGTTTGGAGAGGTATTGTACCTTAGCTTTCCTAACTTTGCAGGTGGCTGAAGGTTTTTGGGAGTTTCCTCTGGCTTTTAATAATCATTAAAAATAAAAATAAAAAAGCACCACAACACCCACAGGCTCCCTCCACTCTGGGCTGGCCACATTTTGCATTCCATCACATTGCTCTGAAAGCATTCCAGGAAGTAGAGCTGTCAGAAAGTTGCAGAGGGAGCCTCAGACTGCAGTGAGTGGTACAGAGTTTTCTTTTCAAGTTTTTTTTTAAAGAAAGAACTCATGAGACGAACCATCATCCACCTGGTAAGATTAAGGATGGTACGTAGAACTCACAAAGTGCTGCCTACACACACACACACACACACACACACACACGTATGAATATATACAGTGCTTTTTTCTGGGGGTACACAGGGGTACGCATACCTCTAAACATTTTGTGAATCTTTGTTCTTTTGTCCGTTTACTGCAGTTATTTTTCCATTTGAACTATAAAATGGTGGTTTTCTTGAGTCAAAATGAGAGTACCTCTAAACATTTTTTTAAGAAAAAATAAAAAGCACTGCATATATGTGAAATTCCTCCCTCTGCCCCCAAGAAAACAGACAATTGGTGCCTGCTTTTGCCATGGGGGTGATGGGTGTTTAGGAAACTGGGAGCAGCGGTGTCACAAGGGGGCGGGGGGCAGTGCACCCCAGGTGCCATGTTGGGGGGGTGACAAGAAGGATCCCACCACTATCCACACAGCATTCGAGCGGCACTGGCGCCAAACCGCTACATAAAATGCATGCATGGTGTCGCATGCATGCGCTGTACATAGTGACGCCACATATGCCGGTTTGCCGCCGGCACTGCCCAAGTGCCGTAAAGACGCGGTGGGATCCCTCCATCGCTGCTACAGCCACAAGCAGAGGATACCGCCATTGCCAACGCAAGCAGAGGATCCTGCCACTGTCCATACGGCACTCAGGCGGCGCCGGCGCTAAACTGCTACATACAACGCATGCGCAGTGTCACATGCATACGCTGTACGTAGCGAAGCCATGCATGCGCTCTACGTAGCGTCACCACACATGTGTTGTACGTAGTGGCACAACGCGTGCGCAGCCGGCGGTTTCCCCCGCCCTGAGTGTCGCTTAGCCTTTGTTCACCTCTGACTGGTGAGATTCCAGTCCAGTTTGGCCTAAAATCATAGAATCTTAGAATTGAAGAGTTGGAAGGAACCCCGATGGTCATTTAGTCCAACCTCCTGCAATGCGGGATTTTTTGGGGGGGGCAACATGGGGCTCTAACCCTGAGATTAAGAGTCTCATGCTCTGCCGACTAACCTGTCTACCGAGGATTTGCACCCCTCACCATATGGCTGCTTAGCTGTAGATACTACTTCTGAAAACACCTCAGTGCTAGGTTTACTTAAAGTTCGTTGCGCAAATACATTCATGTAGGTAACACCTTGCAGGCATTTATGTTTTCAGAGAAACCTACACTGATCTTGGGGGTGGGGCAGCCATATCAAATTCTGGCATTGGTCTGTAATAACTTTGGTGAATATACCTGAGGCTGTTTGTCTCAGTCAAAAACAATACGACTTGGAAATTGCTGCTTCAACCCCTTTGATGCAAACATTCCTGTTCCTGTTGCAATTACTTAATTGTTTAAAGCCTCCGTAAAGATTACATGGGGGCGCGGTGTCTTTGCAGATAATGCCAGGGGCTTGTCTTTCAAGCTCTGCTAGAAGCATGGAGATTGTAAGCGAAAGGACTGGTTACTGTTTTGTATCATTTTTCTTCGTGGTATTCCATTGCATGTGTCTGTCTCTTTGCAACTGAAAGGTACTTTAAGGATATGCTCATGCTTCCCCCCTACAGCAAATGCCCCCTAACCCCAAAGAATCCTGGGAATGTGTGCAGAGGAGGGCAACCAAGACTATTATGCTGGGCCCGGGGGTAACCCAAGTAACGCGGTCCAGGTCCGGTCCCAAATCCAAGGGTTCTGGGAGGAGTCAGTCCGAGAGGGCCAAGGCAGGACATAAGGCAGGAAACCAGGCAAGGTCAGGCACAGGATCACAGGCAGGTTCTGACAAACAGCAATGTTGCTTCCGCAACCTGAGGCAGGGTCCGACAGCCTTTTATCTCTGTCGGGGTAATGGCCGGTCCTGATCCCCCGGTGACTCACCTCCCTGTCTTGCCTGAAGGCGAGCACTCCTCCTGTGAGTACTCAGGTCTCTCCTTCTCTCAGACCTCAGTCTCTGCAGCTTGGGAGATGTCGGTGGGTTACTAGACCCAGAGGCCGCCTCAGCCTCTCCTGATCCAACTGGTAGTGGAGCAGCTGTAAGTGATTGCCCAGCTGAAGGATACGAGGTAATCCCCACATCTGAAGCCAGGGCAGGCTCAGGCGCCTGACTCGGCCCAGCTGGTGCTTGTTGCAGGGGAACCTGTGCAGACTGGGACTCTTCAGAATCAGGCGCCAGACTAGGTTTGGATGCCGCCTGAAGCAAAGGATCCGGTGCGGACTGAGACTCCTCTGGCTCCGAGTCCGAGCCTGAGTCCCAGGCCATCACAACTATCAAAGGTCTGGAAACCAAGCCTTATGAGGAATGGTTGAAGGAGCTGGGTATGTTTAGCCTCGAAAAGAGGAGACTGAGAGGAGATATGATAGCCATTTTCAAATATCTCAAAGGCTATTTCATGGAAGATGGAGCAAGCTTGTTTTCTCCTGCTCCAGAGTGTTGGACTTGTACCAATGGCTTCAAGCTACAAGAAAGGAGATTCTGACTAAACATCGAGAAGAACTTTCTGACAGTAAGCTGTTCAGCAGTTGAACGGTCTTCCTCAGGAGGTGGTGGACTCTCCTTCCTTAAAGGTTTTCAAGCAGAGATTGGATGGCCATCTGTCATGGATGATCTAGTTGAGACTTCAATTATTGTTACGTACAATTAGATGGGCTAAGTGTGAAGCTATGTATTGCCACCAGTTACCAAGTAGGGGAGGGACAAGGCAGTGGGAAAACTCAGGAAGTGTTTAATATTTGATGTTTTCTTGTGTTTTAATATACGCTGTAAGCTGCCCAGAGTGGATAGCAGGGTATAAAGTGATGCTGATGATGATGATGTAGGTGCAGCAGCAGAGCCAATCCAATGCTCCCACCAGCCACTGCCACATGCAACATATATTGACCAAGACCATTATTCCATATAGACCAGTATTGTTTAAGCTTGAATGGCAGATTTGCATTCTGTCTGAGATGTTTCTCATCACCTTATATAGAAGGCTTTTTAAACTGAAGATATCTTTTGACATGCTCAGCATGTGCCTGACTGCACGTGCCACAGCCTCTCCCATCATTGCATGCCTTCAGCACTGCACTCTCCCTTTTGTCCAGGCCAGTGTTCCTCAACCTTGGGCCTCCTGACTTTGTACTACAACTCCCATCATTCCTGACCATTATCTAAACCAAACAGAGATTATGGAAATGCAAGCTGAACCACATCTGGGCACTCAAGATTGAGCAACACTGGCCTAGAGGCACCCCCATATAGTCTTATAAATTTAGCCTCATCATATTCCAGTACTTAATATTTCTATAGGCTAAGTGAATAGGAGGAGGAGATCATCCCCCACAAGGCCTTCTGCTGTGAATGTTTACAGCCTGTAATGAAAACCACAAGTTTCTCTTTTTACCCAAATCAGCACACATTCCTGCGACCCATAGGCAAATACAGGAGACGAAACAGGGAGTATATGATTAATCATTGCATATTTCTGGAAGTTTAACAAGCTTCCAAAAGTACCATATTAGCCAGCCAAGTTTTCCTTTTCTTTTAAAAATCAACCTTCTTTTCTGCTTCTCCTTCTCCTTTTCACGATATCGGATGACAAGATTACATTGGTTTTCCCTGCATCTCTGCCGGTTTTCAGGCTCGCTGCGAGTTCTGATCTTTTAAGGAAAGAGCCATACAGAAATATTGTCTCTGCATTAATAATCTGCCCATTATTTATGTTGCACACTTCAGGACAGGAGGAAGGCTTATTTTCTTTTAATGTTCAAATAATCCTCTCGGAGAACCCAGCGCAGAGGTGATGAGAAGGAGGAGGAATAAAGACTCAGCAAACTCCGGAGCCAAGAGTTTGCTTGCTTACAGACAGATGGCAAATATAGCCAACATTGTGAAACTGCAGCTGTGTGCCTTCAAACCCTCAGATCTATGTGTGTGATCATCGCAGATTTTCTAATCATCTAATGGAGCACAGTCTCCTGGAGATTTTGGGCAACTTCGCTTTGCCAAACTCTTTTTGTTTTCCTTTCGAGGAACCGCATTCGTCTTACCCAGAATACAGTTCAAGGAAAAGAGCTTTCTTTCGAAAGCTACATATGAAGCTTGTACAAAAAGACCAAGGAGGCTTTACTCTTTTTATTATGATTATGAGATCCAATTAAAGAATGATCTGTTGATCGGAAATACTGAATGACAAACACACATGCAGCCAGTTCGCCAACAGACCTGCAAACTGTAAGATCCTAGAATTGAAGGACTGGTTGGAGTCATTGCATATATTCCTAATTCACCCATAGGCCATGTTTTGAGTGATGCAGACAGGAATAGCTCATGGAAGTTATCCTGTCTTTCCCAAGAAATAGCACAAGGATCTGGTCTTGCATCAGCAACAGAGAACCTGCTGTTTCAGAAGTTGCTGGGCTCCAGCTCCCAAAAGCCCCAGCCCGGTGTTCGAAACTCCCATTGTTCTAGGTGCATTTTGTGACAGCAAATTTCATTAGCGCAAGCAGTTTCTGAGCTCTGGGCGCAGTACTGCACCTAAGATTTCAGATTAAAACTGCAGAGCGGAAGGAAAGGAGGGCCCTTTTCTTCCCCCCACTTCCGGTTACTCTCTGAAGATTGGAGAAGAGACCCTCTTAAGAATATTAGGGGGGTGGGCAGGGGAAGGACTAGATCACGTGAAAAATGACCACAATATTTTAGCTGCAATTCATGCATTTTCAACTTTGTATTCTAGTTATGAAAAAACAAGCCTAGACATTCTGTTGTTGCGCCCACAACCTAGGTTTAAGGTGCCATTTAGCTCCTGGCTTTCATATCTCAGTTTCTAACACTGCCCCAGCCAGCAAACCAGTGATTGCCATGGAACATCTGGGGGGGACCGGACCAGGTTACTAACCCCTGTCTTAACATGCTTCTCTTCTGCCTGCTTTTTAAAAACCTGATGAAAGAGATCGCCTTGTGTTCACATCCTCTTGGTCCAGCAGAGAAGCAACACACTGACAATCACCACATATACTGAACCTAGTGTGGAAGCCATGTGGCAACATCCATCAGAATGGCATTGTGTGTCTGTCAAATACCGGTACAAGGGAACAAAATTAACCATGCTTCTCTCTATCTGCTGAAAGAAATATTCATTAAATCTGCATTCTTGTAGTTCTACGTGGTGGGTGCCAATTAATGCTGCCCTCCTGAGCACAAAATCATCTGCAAGGAAACATGAGGACCAGAAACCTAATTCGCTTTGGAAAAGAAGTTGAGGTTCTCAGGATAGCAAATGCTGTGCAAAATACCTGTTTGGGAGCTTGCCCAGGGAACCATGACCTCGTTGAATGGAAGCGATGGACATAACACAAAAATACAGTGGGATCCTGCAAAACAAATGCACGCAAACAAAGTATTTCTTGTGTCAAATGCACTTGCCTGCATAGAAAACTGGGCTTGGGGAAGAAATGTAATGCTTCTTTAACATGCTGTTTTGCTTCCCAAAGTCTCTTGGCATCGCGAATTGCAGGCAAATCCTTCCTTCTTGGATCTGATGTTTATGCAAATAAGAATACCAAAACAATCTGATTCTTTTTGCTTGTTCTCTCCCCCCCCCTCCAGATTATGCTCATGTACAAACAAACACAGTATTGCTTACACCAAGGAAACACAGAGCAATTCTGATCTCACAAAGGACTGACCAACTTCAGCAAATTAAATGCCCAGGGCCTCTGAAGCTTCATCTGGTCCTAATTTTCCATTGACTGTAAAATGACACGCCGATGTAGGGTTTTCCCCCCTCCCCCTTTCAATTTCATTGTAGCTTGTTTTCATCTAGTTTATATTTCAGGACGCCCTGCTTTTCCAGCCTGATTTGTCTTTAAAAATAAAAATAAATGACATGATTCTCCCTCCCGCCTTTTCCTCCACCCCTCACAGTAGCCGACCGAATGGCACCACCACAGCTCTGGAGCTCATGTGCTGCAGACTGGCAGGGGCACCTCTGGTTTACAAGCCGGAAGTGCGTCCACACACCTTTTAAAGGCAGCTTCCTATTCTTCCACACATCTTAAGAAGACGAGTTACACTAAGAGACTGGGTGGCTTAAGCCTATTTGCTGTACCACGAGAAGGGATCGAGTTCTATCAAGTGAGGTGGGGAGTATTCCCTTCTGCTCCACAACTGAAATTACGGTGGTTAGCACTGCCTTTGTTTTGAAGAGGGGCAAATTGGACTGTGTCAACTTGGCTGCATTCAGACAAGCACCTAGATGCAGCCTGGAGCTGTGTGTATACATGCATGGGTTTATTCCTAGGCCAGCATTCCTCAGCCTTGGGCCTCCAGACGTTGTACTATAATTCCCATCGTTCCTGACCATTATCTAAACCGATAAGAGATTATGGAAATGCAAGTTGAGCCACATGTGGGCACTCAAGGTTGAGCAATATTGACTTAGGTCCTAGGCAACCCCATATGGCTTGGTCTTATAAATTTAGCCTCAGCGTATTCCATTACAGTGGTATCTTGGGTTACATACGCTTCAGGTTACAGACTCCGCTAATCCAGAAATATTACCTCAGGTTAAGAACTTTGCTTCAGGATGAGAACAGAAATCGTGCTCCGGCAGCGCAGCAGCAGGAGGAGGCCCCATTAGCTAAAGTGGTGCTTCAGGTTAAGAACAGTATCAGGTTAAGTACAGACCTCCAGAACGAATTAAGTACTTAACCTGAGGTACCACTGTACTTAATATTTCTATAGGCTAAGTGACAATATTGACTTAGGCCCTAGGCACCCCCATATGGCTTGGTCTTATAAATTTAGCCTCACCATATTCCAGTACTTAATATTTCTATAGGCTAAGTGAATATGAGGAGATTGTCCTTCAAGGCCTTCTGCTGTGAATGTTTACAGCCTATAATGAAAACCACAAATTTCTCCCTTTACTCAAATCAGCACACATGTATTCCTAGGCAGATGAGGAACAAATTAACAACTAGCCCGCCACCTGGAAGTATTTCCACAGGGGGTTGCCCCTGAGGCAAGGAGGACCTATGGAATCTTCTTCTTTGGTGATTACTCGTAGCCAAGTAAGATTGTTTTCCGTAAACACAGTTTTAACAGTGAGTCCGTAAGTGACTGTGGAAGCCAATTCTGGATCCACACATCCTTCCACAGTGGGGACATAGGTTTCCAGGTAGGAGTTGATCATGGTGAAGGTTTGCCAAGTGTGCCTTCCTCTTAGCACGTTTCTCCCTTCCTGAGTTCTTCAAAGCTCAGGACACCTTTGGTAAAGGCTGTTCTCCAATTGGAGCGCTTTCAAGCCAGTGTTTCCCATATGACACACCTATGACATACCTCAAATAGGATCATCCCCACAGGAGTGCCACCTTGAGGAGTACTATGGCCCTAGGCAAAAAACCCAGACAAAGCCAATTGGTCCTCCCCGGCCCCGAATACGGGGACCAACATAGTGCATAGCAACATCACAAGCATAAGAGAAGCATGTTTTTAAGGCCCTCAGATTATTTTCTGGTTCTCCCTGAAGCAGCCTCATAAAGCCTACCCAACAACCCCTCACATCCAAAAGCACAATTCTCCAGTGTCTCTGACTTTGCAGAAGAGCATCTGCTCTTTGAAGGACAGTCCAGTTCAAGTTCAGCTTGAAGATAAAAGAAGGGGGAGCAGGGGGAGCCTTGAAGTTTTTCATGAACAAGCATCTGGCTTGCAGACTTGGTAGTCTCATAGACCACCTGGTCTTCCTTGCTATGGTGAGAAATATTGCATTGCTATTTAAATGAAAGCGCTTGCATCTAATTTTGCATCAGTACATACATACATACATACATACATACGTTGCTACTGGGGACCCCATGGTGAAGAGTGGGCATGAAATCTAAGAAATTGTAATAGTAATACAAATGATAATATTAACAATGTTGTTTGTTAGCATCCGTCTCAGGAGACGAGGGAGGACTGCGTCTTTGGGGGTGAAGCCAAACCATTGGAGAGTTCCAATGGCTGCTGGGGCTGTAGAGGCCAATATGGGATAGACATGTTTTGTTGCAGATTGGGCAGATGAAGTTGTCCCGGTGTGTTACTGCAGATCCACCACAGTTTTTCTTCTCTCTGCGCTCATCCCAGCAGTCATTCCTCCTCTGGTCACTGCTGGGATACATGACCTGACTGCCTTTTTCAAAGCACTGTAGTCACAAGAGGCAGCCGCCTCCCATGGGCACCCTGCCTGCCCCACTAACTTCCTCAACCACTGGGGAAGCAACCAAAGAGGTGGCGAGAGACCAGCATCAAAGCTCTGCAGAGCACCTTCCTCTCACTGAGTTTGATGACAGGAAGGTGTTCTGGAAGCCCTGGCAGAGTTGCCCCACCCTCTGTCTAGGGGTGAGGGCTTTTCCCTGATCCCTCACACACAACCATCACAGGCAGGGGGTCAGCAGGACATTTTGTCTCAGGCACAGAACACCTCAAGCCACCCCTGTCCACTTATTAAACCTCAAGTCTGGAAGGATTCCTCAGGAAAGAATTCTGCATCTTTTGCCTGTCGTATTTGCCTGCTTGCCATCCACTTCCCTGCCGCTTCCAAGAACATTCCTCCAAAACATGTTCTGTTTTCTGAGGGGTAAAGAACATCAGTCAGGGAAAATTAAGGGAATCGTGGAGAGCCCAGCAAAGCTTCCAAGTAATTGTCACTGTTTATTAGCAGTAACAGTTGTATTAATAGCAGTAGCAAAGTAGAAGTATGTCCACCCTTTTCCTTCTTGTTCTTTTTAAAAAATATATATTTTAAGTAATTTCTATATGTTAACAAAATAATAGGAAGCTATAATCTTTCTAGTAAGATTAATGTAAAGAAATGGGAGGCCCTCCAAGCTCATTCTGACGTCCCGCTGTACAGGACAGTAGTTCGTAGAGGCTGGTTGTAATCCTGAAGCAGGGCATTTTTGGCAGGCACTTGAACAGTAAACAGGGACGCAGGTGGCGCTGTGGGCTAAACCACTATGCTGCTTGGGCTTGCCAATCGAATGGTTGGCGGTTCGAATCCCCATGACGGTGTGAGCTCCTGTTGCTCGATCCCTGCTCCTGCCAACCTAGCAGTTCAAAAGCATGTCAAAGTGCAAGTAGATAAGTAGGTACCACTCCGGCGGGAAGGTAAAGATGTTTCCGTGCGCTGCTCTGGTTTCGCCAGAAGCGGCTTAGTCATACGACCCCAGAGTCGTTCGCGACTGGACTTAATTGTCAGGGGTCCCTTTACCTTTACCTTGAACAGTAAGCCAGAGGTTGAATGCTTCTATGGCTACCAACCAAAGAGTTGCAGGCCATCGAAACAAGAGAGCCATGTAAAAGTCATCATACAGCCAGCCCTGTTATCAGGCAGTATGAAGCTGCCATCTTGTCTGGTAGATGCTGGGGCTTCGGTTGCTGTGGTGTCGGGGGGACAGACAGTTTGTGCTAAGCCTTTGCACAAACCCAAACTATCCTGCTTATCTTTGGTAAGACAAATGACACTGTCCCATTTCCAGTGTTGAAACAAGACTCTACTGCAGGTAAAAAAAAAAAAAAGGTAAAGGACCCCTGGACGGTTAAGTCCAGTCAAAGGTGACTGTGGGGTTGCAGCACTCATCATGCTTTCAAGCCAAGGGAGCCGGCTTTTGTCCACAGACAGCTTTTCTGCGTCACGTGGCCAGCAGGACTAAACCTCTTCTGGTGCAACGGGACACTGACACAGAAACCAGAGCACATGGAAACGCCGTTCACCTTCCCGCCACAGCAGTACCTATTTATCTACTTGCACTGGTGTGCTTTTGAACTGCTAGGTTGGCAGGAGCTGGGACGGAGCAATGGGAGCTTACCCCATCACAGGGATTCAAACCGCCGATTTTCTGATCAGCAAGCCCAAGAGGCTCAGTGGTTTAAACCACAGCACCACCCGCATCCCTACTGCAAGACCATTCAAGACCTACATATGTGGGATGCGGGGGGCATCTTGTCCTTTGCCTCAAGCCAGTAAATCTTTTGTTGTTCATGCAGCCAGAGGCCAATAATTAATATTCTTAACTCTGTTGTAGACTTGTCCATGGAGACTGATAGCACTTTCAGATTATCACAAATGGCCTTACAGCATCTTTGCCAAATCACCAGCTGCATGGCTATCTGAATGTCAGTTCACTCACTTCAGCTGATGTCCTTGGTGGATAAAAAGCTTTCTGGGTTGGGTTCAAGGGAATACAACCACTTCTCCTTACTGAGCTGGAAAAGGAGAGATGTGTTGCAAAATGTTAGCAGTGCAAATGGAAAGATGCAAAGCGAGGAACCGAAATTCTCAAAGGAGGAGAGAGAAAATTATTAATCAAAAGATAAAACATGTAATTGCTAAGAAAATATATTTGGGGTCTTTCCATACAATCTCAACCAGTCCCAGCCAGAACGGCCAACAGCCAAAGAGAATGGGAATCATAATCTAAAAACATTAGCAGGGCATTTTGTTGGAGAAGGCTGTGACACTCTTTGGGGGCAGTGAGAGGGATGAAAATGTAATAAAGTTTGCTCCACCCCGATGTTGTCCAGTTCCATTTCCCCCAGCCAAAATCAACGGAAGGAGTGGAAAGTGTTTGGCTCTGTGTATTAAGTAACCACGCAGCAAGGATATGGCAAAACAGCGATTATGGGATTATACTTTGTGAGGTTTGCTGGAGATGGGTCCTGTCAGCAGCACTGACCACATGGCCACAAATCTTGCCTTCCTTTCTGTCGAAATCTATGGGGTGATATTCTATGTTAGTGTGCCCTAGATAGAGCTTGGTGGTACTGGGCCAAATTTTCTTTTTTAAAAAAAGTGCATTGACATTTTCATTGAGCAAACCCTGCCTTGGCTTCTGGCAAGTCACATCCACTTAATGTGTCCGTGTTTGTCTGTGTACAGCAGAAAGAGGCATTTTGCTTTTGTTGTATTCTTCAGCACTAACATGAATCCATCAAACTGGTAAAGACGGAGGGGAGGGGAGAAGCAGATTCCATAACATGCTTCTTTGGCAGCCTGCGTTGTTTTCTTTCAAAAGGCATTAACAATACGCTTCTCTCACTCGGAGTACTTCAAGAGAAGATAATTATTCTTGTCTGCCTTGTAATATATATTAAAAAATGTTCAAATGTGGCTTTCCAGGGAATCCTGCCAAATATTTTTAAGGCACCAGCTCCAGCTTTAGTTAATTTTATATTGCCTTCTCAGTCTATTATAAAATATTCTTCCATCCAGTTTGAATCTGGTAAAGGGGGAGTAGAGGCTGAAATGTACCGCTTTATATTAGGAACATTTTAAAGGGGAGGGTGTTCTTTCCTTGAAATTAAGATCTTTAACTCCTAATGTGACAGCAGTTTAAATGCATAGCAATTAAAACGTTTCCAGTAAAGTAAAATGCTTATCACGGAAACTTTATTGCACCCATGGGACGGGGTGGGGGGAGGAACGATCATGTATTTGAAGATGTTTTCCAGAAAAGCCGACCAAAGATGAGTGGACAGCGAACCTAATGTAAAATAATGGCATATGCCTCATCTACAGAGGAAGCAGAATAGAGTTGCAGCCTGTGTAGCTTCAGGCTGCTGGGGAGGGTCATATTTTTAAATGTTCCCATGTGTGGGTTTTTTAAAATAAAATAATAAAATAAGCACAAAAGGGAATGGGATAGAACCTTTCTCCCCAGTGTGCCGGGTTTTTTGTGGGGGCAGGGAGACTTTTATTTTTTTAAGAAAGCACTGGGGAGTATTCCAAAGCCACCACCCCATGCACCTTGAATTAGCATACTCCATTCTTAAGAACTGAAGGCTCTAATACAGGAATAGGGAACCAGATGCCCTCTAGATACTGTCACCAGCTCCAGACAGCATGGCTAATGGTCAAGGATGATGGGAGCGATGACCCAAGAGGTTCCTGCATCCCTTTTCTAATCCCTCAATCTGTATCAGACCAGCGGCAGTTATATTCAGGCTGGGAAGTAGCTTAAAAAGGCAACAAATCCTTTGCACAGCTAGGAATAAGAATAAGAATAAGAAAGGAATAAGAAAGGTAGAAGATCCCTGGATGGTTATGTCCAGTCAAAGGCGACTATGGGGTTGCAGTGCTCATCTCGCTTTCAGGCAGAGGGAGCCAGTGTTTGTCCACAGACAGCTTGCTGGGTCATGTGGCCAGCATGACTAATCCGCTTCTGGCGCAACAGAGTACCGTGACAGAAACCAGAGCCCACAGAAATGTCATTCACCTTCCCGCCGCAGTGGTACCTCTTTATCTACTTGCACTGGTATGCTTTCGAACTGCTAGGTTGGCAGGAGCTGGGACAGAGCAACGGGAGCTCAACCTGTTGTGGGGATTCAAACCGCCAACCTTCCAATCGGCAAGCCCAAGAGGCCGAGTGGTTTAGACCACAGTGCCACCCAAATAATAATAATAATAATAATAATAATAACAACAATAATAATAATAAAGCTAAGCAGAGTTTGGTATGGTTTCAAATTGGATGGGGGACTGTCTGTTGCGATTCCTGCATTGCAGGGGTTTGGGCAAGGTGAGTCTCAGGGTCCCTTCCAATTCTATGATTCTACAATTTGTGTCTGGCATGATGCTAAAGCACATTGACAGCCAAGCTCGATCTTTTTGGGCTCACATTGTAAAAATAAATAAAATTTCCCCTTCTCTCTGTACTCAGGATTCAATATTCTGACCCAGTTGATTGACCCACCTCATACAGCTGGCCAAGTAGACTTTGGTGTGTGAAAGCTGACGTCACAATAACCTTTTCAGTCTCTGTGACATCACAGTCCTCTTTGCCGTTTTCCACTGAGGTGGCAGCCCTGCAGTCTGGCTTGGACTCCTTCAGACAGTGGTGCTGGTAAATCGAACATGACCAAATGCTTCCTGGAGAAAAGAAGAAGACACCATGGAGAACTAAGATGCCACAGAGAAGGCTAGGAAATGAAAATGCATTATGATTATCTCTCTTTTGCTTGAAGTGCTACAGCCACCTCAGTGGGGAAAACAGGGCCACTGTGGACCAGGTCACAACACCTTAACAGGGTATGCTATTATCCAAGTGCAGCAGCCAATCACAGGATCAGGCCCTTAGGATGGGGTTCATCCAATTTTAGTCATATTAGAACTATTGGAATGAATGGGCATGACTATCTTGGATCCATTCATTTCAAGGGGTTTGCTGTCAGTAAAATTGTGAAATGCAATCCCATACAGTGGTACCTCGGGTTACAGACGCTTCAGGTTACAGACTCCGCTAACCCAGAAATAGTACCTTGGGTCAAGAACTTTGCTTCAGGATGAGAACAGAAATCGCACAGCGGCAGCGCAGCGGCGGTGGGAGGCCCCATCAGCTAAAGCAGTGCTTCAAGTTAAGAACAGTTTCAGGTTAAGAACGGATCTCCAGAACGAATCAAGTTCTTAACCCGAGGTACCACTGTATTATTTTAAATTGAAATATTTTATTTTAAAAACAAAACAAAAGGGGAAATGATATATAATGAATGGAAAAGGTTGTTTAAAATAACATGGGGGGGACGATGACCCAGAAGCTTCTCTTTGGGGAATTATAGGGACAGAACTATAGGTTCATGGGTTGCCTTATGACTCCGGGTGACTGTCACAGGGACAAATACAGGTAAGCATTGCTACTCCTCTCCAAATCACCTTCTCTCTTCCTCTCCAAATGCTGGGTGCTTCCTCCTATCTTTCTTCTCTTCTTCTGTAGTCTCCTCTCGGCTGTTCTACTGCTGGTTTGCCCATCAGTTGCTGCCTAGTCCATCTCTTCTCTCTACTCGGCCCTCAACCTGCAACAGCTACTGGACTTTGAAGGCTCACCATTGAATTTGGGGTGCCAGGCAACACCTACATCTACCATCTGCACACACAGCTTGCTGTGATCTGTTTTTTTCTGACCCTCTCCTGGCCACTGTGACCTCATGAAGATGCTGCCTCCCTGAAGGAGAGAGAGAGGCTGGCCATTGTGACCTCATGTTGATAGTGGCCAATGAAGGAGAGAGACTTGTCATTGTGTCCTCGTGCTGATGTTGTCCACCTGAAGGAGAGGGATTGGCCTTTATGATCTCATTCTGGTGCTGATAAGAATATGAATGATGAATAATAACACAGGGCATTATAGGGACATTATTTGGGAATTATAGGGACAGAACTACCCAAACTATATAGAAATTTATTCATGCATGCGACTACAGCGGCAAGAATGTTACTTGCCCCAAAATGGAAATTTACCAGAAGAATAAGAAACCAAGATCACAAACTTTTTATAAAAGAATGGAAATGGTTTATTGGATATTAACAGGTAAATTGTAAACAGATAAGAACACTGGCAGGATTATTGTAATAAACTGCAGTTTTATAAGAGTATGTATTTAAAGTAGATGAATCAATGGGCAAATTAAGTTAATTTGGATATGCAGAAGATATTAAAAATAAATTTAAGGAACTGCAGAATGAGGGGGGAGAAAGTCAAGTTTTGAAATGTTAAAATGATTGTGAAATTAGTGGAATGTATAAACCTGAAAATTATAAATAAAATTTAAAAAAGAAAAGAGGGGAAAACCAAAGGACCAGGGGATATATATGACTGAGATCCTGGGTTTGATGAGCCAACCACAAGAGGCAGGAAGTAGGAGGAAGCCACCCATTGCATTGTTTCCAGCAGAGACAGATTGGCCTCACTTCCTCTCGATTGTACAGAAAAGCTAAGGAAAAAAGCAAGGCAACGGTGCCTGCTGTGAAGCCGGGGTCCTGCTAAAAACAATCTACCCCAAAGATCGGCTGTGCTGATGTATTTGTTGACAGTAAGGCAGTAGCCCGAACACAGTTGCAGCATGTACCCTGGTTATATGTGGCTTTAAAAGTTTGTTCTGTGTAGCAGAACAAATTTAACCAAGGTGGGGCCTGAGCACAAGATTTGGACACCAGCCTGTTAGGGGAAGCCAAAACAAACACTTAAAACAAATGTAACACTTTGCATAGCCCTTTGTGCTAATTATCTGCAGGTTCCCACATTAACCCACAATAACAAAAATACACACATGGCAAAAGGACACTGTGGTATTTTATTCTGGGCTCACTTGTACAGGTGAAAGTCATTTATATCATTTTGGAGGGAGGGAAAGTGAAGGGGTCTAATGCTCCTAATATTATGCTCTGAATCCTAAATGTTGCATTGTTTCCTTAGCTTCCCTATGGTTATACTGTAGGGCTTTCGGCAGATCGTCGCAGATTCTCCCTCTGTTTCTCAGCACACAATGCCTGCAGATATAACCTAAGCGACAAGAAGACATCTGCATTCCATTGAGCTCTGGATCTTTAGCAGGTTCTAGTAATGTATATACAGTAACAGGTGGCGTCATGTGAAAGTTCTTCTGCACATGTACCTAGTTGAGCATTAGTAGGCTGTCAACTGGGGACAGGGGTAGCACTGTGGGTTAAACCACAAGAGCCTAGGGCCTGCCGATCAGAACGTCAGCAGTTCGAATCCCCGCGACGGGGTGAGTTCCCGTTGCTCGGTCTCTGCTCCTGCCAACCTTGCAGTTCGAAAGCACATCAAAGTGCAAGTAGATGCATACCTTCCCGCTCTGGCGGGAAGGTAAATGGCGTTTCCGTGTGCTGCTCTGGTTTTTCCAGAAGCAGCTTAGTCATGCTGGCCACATGACCCGGAAGCTGTACACCGGCTCCCTCGGCCAATAAAGCGAGATGAGCGCCGCAACCCCAAAGTCAGCCACAACTGGACCTAATGGCCAGGGGTCCCTTTACCGTTTACCTTTACTATCTTGTCAGCTGCTCCCAGCTGGTTGCCCAGGAAAGTATAGAGACATAGGAAAGTTTCTTACCGTCTTTTGTTATTTTAATCTTTACAGAGAGAGGCTATAGAACCCAGCTTTTTGGATAATCGTGTTGTCCCAAGTGAATCTCCACCCCTCATCTCTCCCACTTCCTCATTCATCACTTCCATGGGTGCTGCTAGGTACCCTCTGTCTTTGAGCTCTTTGCTCTCCTACTTTTAAGGCTCGCCAGGCTCTGGAAGAAGGAGGGTCTGGAATCCTTTCTAATGACAACATGTCAGCCGGGTGTTGTCCCGGCTTGCACATGATTTCCCAGCTTTCCTCCTCATCTGCCTCTGAGCTGCTACCTCCCTCAAATCCTTGTTCTAAATCTATACTGTCTCCCTCTTCCTCCTTCCTGGAAGGGTCAGGATGCTGTCCAGGTTTTGACTGATGGACAACTTCAGGCCTACCTTGCCCTGCTGTTCTCTTCCTACATCTGGTTATGTATCTTTCAACTTCGACTCCTCAAATCGGAGACTCCTTCTGTCCTCAGTTGTTGGCATCTGTCTGTCTAGGGGAGAGACAATGGAGGAGTGCACCTCTTGGGGGTGAAGTCAAAACTGTTGGAAGGTTGCCTGTCATGGCTGTAGAGACCGATACAGGAGAGACATGTTTTGCTGCAGCTGGGACAGATGAAGGCATGCGGTTTTGCTGCCACAAATGGCATTTCTTCTCAGTTGTAAAGTAGGTTATGAGGCCAGCCTATTCTCAATGGTACCTTGAGGTGTTTGAAATGGAACCTATGACCTTCTGAAAGCCACCACTTTCTATGCCATAACTGCTAAGTTTTATATATGCTCCTCGTGCTAAGATTTTCTTTCTGCGATTACGCCAAACTAGCATGTTCAGTGTGATTGAGAGGATCTTCATTATATTGTGAATAATCTGAGTTTTGCATTTGTTTTCAACATCAGTGCAATTTTTTTTTTGTTTGTTTATCCTTTGTTGCATATTGCCCTGGGCTCTGTGGAAGGCTGTTTTATAAATACAGTGAAATAATAACAACAATGATAATAATAATGTTAATATTAAGTATAGAGTTCAGGAAATGAGGAGGAGGTTGTGGTTTCTCTCTGTGCCCACTCCAAAAGCTCTGCTTAAATTAAATGAATATTTCATTCGCATGGGGAACCTCTTTTCCTCATTTCAATAACAAATTGTGGGTGGAGCAGGGAGGGGAGAACAAAACAGGGGAAACAAAACTCACATTTTTTCGATGTTTGATTTGTGCACAGAGCAGGGATTCTGATTCTGCCAGAGAAAACTGGAAGATGTAAAATGCATTTCAGGGGTTTATTGGACTAACCAGCCAAGCGCATGTGAGGAGAGACAAATAAAGCAAAACCTAGGTTGGATAACTCCAGGTTAGGGCCGAGCCAAATGTTCTCCATGTTCTATATTTGACAAAAGTACCAATTTCTTTTAAATCTGTTTCCACGTCCCTTGGTCTTTTCGCTCTTCCATCTTAACATTTTGGAAGCATAAGCTAACTGCATATGCAGCCACACTTTCACCAATCCCATCTACCCCCTACTAATACATTATAGCACCATTTTTTCCTCCTTGTGTGATTGCAGCTAGCAGTTCAAAAGCACATCAAGTGCAAGTAGATAAATAGGTACCACTCCAGTGGGAAGGTAAACGGCGTTTCTGTGTGCTGGTTTACCAGAAGCGGCTTAGTCATGCTGGCCACATGACCCGGAAGCTGTCTGTGGACAAACGCTGGCCCCTCAGCCAATAAAGCAAGACGAGCGCCGCAACCCCAGAGTTGTCCACGACTGCACCTAACGGTCAGGGGTACCTTTACCTTTTTAGGGGTCAATGTTATGTTTTGTGCAGCAGAGATATATTTTTAAAAAAATAAAGATTTTATTGGGTTACAAAAGTACATGCATTGCCTCTTTTTTCAGGTCGTAGAGTCTTTTCAGAAAACTATGGATCACTATGAAAATTCTCTTTTTACATACCCATGGAAAAGAGGAAGAGTCCTTTAAAAAGAGAATATATGGCAACCTGAAGTTTTCTAGGGATCACTTGCATTCAATGTGAGACATTAAGTTATTTCCCTAATTTTGAACCGGCAAATCAGCCGTGGATTCGCCTTAGGAGGACGGTGCCCTTTCAGGATTAAGAAAGTTCATTGTATGGAGGAGAAGGAGGAGAAGAAAATACATGGCCTGAAAGAAAGGCACATGTTCTTCAAGCCTCAAAATATGGTGCATCTGTGGGCATGTGGGCACAGGTGAGAGAAAAAGGGGATACGTTCCCACCGTGCTGACAGATCCTGTAAGGGGGAAGGCATTATCAGGAGAAGGAAAGGAACAGCTGCAGAGCTTGTGAGGGCTCTCATTCTGCTGGACCCTGAAGGGAAGGAGCCAGAAAGCGCATGAGCCAAGGCAAAAAAAAAAGGGGGGGGAGCACTGCCAGGCTATTCAGCCCTGGGGCAATGGAAGGAGCCAAGGGAGCGAAGGCGGGAAATTATATTCTGTTCCTTGTTTATACCACAAGATGCAAGCAAGATCTACTTAGCCTGGAAAACATATTCTTATTTAATCCTGGATATTTTTGTTCTAGAAATGAGGAAGGAACAGTGTGGGGGTGCTGGCGGCGGTTGTTTTACTTCAGTCAAAAATTCTCTCGTGTTTTCCTGCGTTAACAACTAGGGACGTCCTATTCCATTATTATTATTATTATTATTATTATTATTATTACTACTACTACTACTACTACTACTACTACTACTACTACTCCACCCATCTGACTGGGCAGCTTCCAACATATATAAAAACATAGCAAAACTATACAGGACTGTATAGTCTTCTATAGTTTAGAAGACTTCAGATGTCTTCTAAAGTCTATATAGTTACTTATCTCCTTGGCTTGGGGGTTGCATAACTCTACTGCCTCCAACATTTCTCCAATGAAAATAGGGATATCCTAAGGAAAAACGGGACATTCCGGAATCAGATCAGAAACTGGGATGGCTTCTGTAAATCTGGGACTTTCCCCGGAAAATAGACACTTGGAGGGACTGGTATGACAGGTGATGAAACTTGTCAATGGCTTTATGATGGAAAATCATCTCATTAAGCCTCTAGGTTGAGTGTAAAAGAGTGTAAAACCTCAGGAGTGAATTGTGTCCCCCCAGAACACTCTTTCTGGCCCTCTGGTCTCTCCTCAGGCCCACTTCCTTTTCAGCCACACCTCATCTCCACAGATAACACTGGCAACACCTTTTCCGTGAGCATTTTGGCTGGCCTGAAATGCATCCTTGAACTCTGATCGTGCCTCTTGTTTCCCTGGATAGAAGTCTGTGTTTGCGTGTGTTTGTAGAAACAACCTACTGTACAAAAGTAACATTTACATTAGTTTCTCTGCCCGCTGTTGCCTCTGGTCTCTCTCAACACGCAAGCGTGTCCATTTTGAAAAAGTTGAAAATAATTTTTTAGAAAACAATAACTTGCTTTACATGATTAAATATTTTCCCATACTGGGCTATGTGAAGGAAAGTGGGTTATACTGGAAAAGTCCTTTTCAAGTAGTGCTTCCCTTTGCTATGCAAACAGTCTGCCCAGCCACATCCCAGTGGCTCTAATAAAGCCATCACTAAGAGGGCTTGCCAATCAGAAGGTCGGCGGTTCAAATCCCCGCGATGGGGTGAGCTCCCGTTGCTCGGTCCCTGCTCCTGCCAACCTAGCAGTTCGAAAGCATGTCAAAGCACAAGTAGATAAATAAGTACCGCTCCGGCGGGAAGGTAAATGGCGTTTCCGTGCGCTGCTCTGGTTCACCAGAAGCGGCTTAGTCATGCTGGCCACATGACCCGGAAGCTGTATGGCAGCTCCCTCGGCCAGTAAAGCGAGATGATCGCAGCAACCCAGAGTCGTCCGTGACTGGACCTAACGGTCAGGGGTCCCTTTACCCTTACCTTTAGGAGGGGGCCACAAAACTCATCGAAACATTTAACATTTCAATGGAAGCATATATAAGCATTGCACGCATAACTCAGATCCCCTGAGTGCAGTGCAGGAAATGGATGCTGAAGAACTGTGTGACAAGAGAGACATGGGAATGCAGAGCTAAGGAAGAAGTACAGTGGTACCTCAGGTTACAGACGTTTCAGATTACAGACGCTTCAGGTTACAGACTCTGCTAACCCAGAAATAGTACCTTGGGTTAAGAACTTTGCTTCAGGATGAGAACAGAAATCGTGCCGCCGCAGCGTGGCAGCAGCAGGAGACCCCATTAGCTAAAGTGGTACCTCAGGTTAAGAACGGGCCTCCGGAACGAATTAAGGACTTAACCCGAGGTACCAATGTAGTGCTGTGTATGCATCATATGTTTAATGCACATTAAAAACACACAGAGCAGACCCCTCAGGTGTCCCAGTTTCGTTGGGACATCACAAAGTGACAGAAGCCGCCCTGGCTTCTGTTCACAATCCCAAAAGCCCTCATTTTGCTCACCTGCGCTGGTCACGCCAGAGTGAGGGACCAAGAGATGGGCATCGGGAGATTTGGCACAGGCTGAGGCAGCCTTCCATTAAGCTGCGCCAGGCTGTGCCTCTTCTCCCGGTGCTCACGAGAGGCTAAGCTTAAACCCATTCTCATTCCAGAAGCTTTTAACGTTTGAAGTTTTACTGTTTGCCTTTTTTTTTTTATCCTATAATTCCTCATCTTTTCGAGGGGAAGATTTTCCGCTTCACATTTCTTACGTTGTGAAGTTGCTCGCAGAGCCCTGCGGACAGACCGCCAATGTCTCCCCCAACTGTGTAAAAACCCTGTCACAAAAAACAGGGAATAAGTAAATAAAGGCATGGTTTTGTTCTTCAAAGGGAAGCAACAAGCAAAAAACGTTCCTTTGGAGTTTCCTCTTTGCTGCGCAAGGAATTAAAAGAGCACAAAATAGCATCGAAGGAGAAGTGGAGGAACCGATCTGCCAGCTACACTTCCTGCCTCCTTCCCTTTATAAGGTGCCAGCTCCTTCTGTTGAGTTGCATAATTCTAGCCTGCAATTCTTGCAGACCAGGCCGTGTGTGTGTTTGAATAACAGTCTTAAGCATACAGACTTGGAAATAAGTCTCATAGAACTCAACGGGGCTACCCTCTAGCAAGCAGGACTGGCAAGGAAAAAAGGATGTCTGCCTCTTTGATCTTTTCATTGAATTAAAGCAACCTAGTAATTTATTCATTTTATTTAAATGTTTATAACCCACACTTTCATTTTAAAAAGGTGGTGTACAACATAAAAACAATATATATCTATGAAAATCAATCAAGACTGGTTGGGTTTTTTGGGGGGGGGATCTGGTTACAGTACAGTTTTCAAATACGTCTAAAACAGTGGTGCCCAAACTTGGCCCTCCAGCTGTTTTGGGACTACAATTCCCATCATCCCTGGCCACTGGTCCTGTTAGCTAGGGATGATGGGAGTTGTAGTCCCAAAACAGCTGGAGGGCCAAGTTTGGCCAGCACTGGTCTAAAAGAAAGCAAGAATGATTCCTGCTGGACATCTATTGGCAAGGAGTTCCGCAGGGAAGGACCTACCACACTGAAGTTTCAGACCCTGGTAAAGGTTGACCAGATCTCAGAGGTGTGGGGGACCACCAAAAAATGCTCCATCCAAAGATCTCTGTGATCAAAGGTGAAGCATAAGGAAATACTTACGCAATGCACAACGTAACTACTTATGAAAATGTTCCCTGCATGGAAGTTTAGGCTGGTTCGTTCAAATGAGCCTGTGACTAGCAAGGTATCTTCCCAAAGGCTCTCCAGGACCTGATTCTGAGGGCCCCCATCCCTTCTCCATCATACCTGAAAGTGAGGAGAATTTCATCCAGGTGTCATTTTCAAATGAATCCACGGTGGCTCAAAGTTTGTGTCCCCATGTTGACAAGGGTGAGCTTGGATTTCCCATGCAGTGAGGCAGAGAGAGCATGGCTTCCTGAAGGCACATAGATACATGGACCTTGCAGAGGAGGAATGACCGCTGGGAGGAGCACAGAGAGAAGAAATGTCATGGTGCACCTGTAGCAGCACAGCCGCTTTCATCTGCCCCAGCTGCAACAAAACTTGTGTAATGATCTCATGAAGGCAATCAAGCCCTGGTAAGAAGTAATGACTCTCCTGCAATATTATGATGTTTGTTTACAAAAGACACATCCAGAGCCCAGCTTCTCGCCTGCTTGCATTTATGTTTGTTGGTCAGTCTGAAGGTTCACCCCTCCAGCAGCAGGAAGGACGCCAGACTCCTGCCTTTCCCCTCTTGCCCTTCCGTCGCCTTCTGAT